TTGTATCACCATTCATTTCAATTAATTTAGCTTCCATATGTTTCTCTAATTTGTGACTAAAAATCAACCAGTTCTGTAAGGATCCTTATAACCAGTGTTTTGAACTGTGCATCTGAAAGACTGGCTATTTCTTCATCACTTAGGTCTATCGGTTCTGGGGCTCTGAGTTGTCCTAGAGCCATTTTTTGGTCTATTCGTGCTGTTAAGTGAGCGGAGCGAAGCCTTAGTTGTTTACCAGGACTGGGCGACCCAGGTCGCTGGTTTGTGACGCTGTGTGTGGGGGCGGGGTCAGAGAGGGAGCAATGGCGTTCCACTCCGCTAGCCCAGCGCATCCAGTCACTCACACGCCTCGGGCTTGTTTATCCGATCCTAATTGTGCGAGCCTGCTGCACTGCGCGGGTTTCCCTTCTCACTGGTTTCTCTGCACGTAAATGCGCGAGACCTACCGACCCACCGCGCCTCTTCCCTGTGCACTCCGGCAGCCAGCTCGCTGGCGATCAGCGCCCTCGGTTGCCTGTGCGCACCGCCCCGGGAATTTTTTCTTGCTAACCTGCTCCGCTGCTGGCCTTGCTCCTCGTACCGGTCCAGCCGAGTATCTAGTTGTCCTTTGGACTCCGTATTGTCGATTTTCCGTGTGGCTTGGTTGTGACTGCTGTTAAAAATAGTTGTTCTTAGATTTGGTTGTGCACAGAGGCGAGGTGGATCCTCCATCTACGTCTCCATCTTGGCGGAAGTCTGAAAAAGATGCTTTTGAAAGAAGTATTTCAACTCATAAATGAAGAATGATAAAATTAGAGCATCATCACTTTGCAGACCTGTGATATTGTGCTTTATAAGAAACATGCACTGTATGACCTTCATTCCTGTTTCTGCAAACATAGTTTGCTTCCATGTTTCTGTGATTTGGCTAATTGTGAATAATGCTGCAATGAACATGGAAGTGCAGATATATTTGTGAGAAAACGATTTTATTTTCTTCAGTTAAATACCCAGAATTGGGATTGCTGGATCATAAGGCAGTTCTATTTTTAAGTTTTCTGGGGAAACTCCATACTCTTCTCCCTAATACAGTGAGTAGAGAAGCCATCCGGAAGACTAGGATTCCAGGTGCATTTGAACTGTAAACCGGCTGCCCCAGTACTTTATTCTGGGAAGAGTACTTTCAAACAGGTGCGAGAGAGGAGACTGGGTGGGTAAACTACTTTTGGATCATGTCCGGCATGACTCGGTGCCTCTGTGACTACCACTGGGGTACTAAAATCACCTCCTGATGGGTCTCTCTTGGGTTCGCATCCTTCCCCACTCATCAGAATAGTCAAGTCTCAAAATAACAAGTAGCCAGAGTAATCTTCTAAAAATATAAATCATATTTTATTTTTATCCTTAAGACTTCCCCGTGGTTTTCCAGCTCACCTAGAATGAAATCCAAAACAACCATGGCCTCATGCTACCTCTATGGCCCTCCCCCTCTGTCACTCCGTGGTACCCCCACTATCATTCCAGGCTGTCTCCAAGCTCAGGTCCTTTAGATGGTCTGTTCCCTGTGCCTGGAATTGCCCTTCTTCTAGATGATTGCAAACTCTTCTTTTACATCCTTCAGATTTTTCTCAAGTGTCACATTCTCAGTGAGACTTTCCCTGGTCACATCATCTAAAGTTTCAACACCTCTCTTCTCACTTCCTATCCCCTTTCCTGGATTATTTGTTTTTCTCTTTAGCTAATCTGATATACATTTAACTTAAATTGTTGTACTTATTTGTTAGTCTCTCTCATCAAGCTCTGTGAAGTCAGAGGTTTGCCCATTTTCTTCACTCTTTTGTCCCTTGTGCTTAGAACAAAGCTTGTCATAATAGGTACTTACTCAGGAAATGTCGTTAAATAAATGAGTTGCTACATGGTTCCCTTTCATGAAATCTAGTTAAGCACCACTTCTCAGTGAGGTCTTTCTTAAAGATCCTTTCTTAAAGATTTATATTGGATCTTAAAGATCCAATATAAAATAGCATGTTCCCCCTACATACACACAGAGATCATTACTATATCTTCTTACCCTGCTTTAAAAAAAATTTTTAGCACTGCCTGACATAGTATACATTTATTTACCGTATCTTGCTGTGTATAATGTGCATTCATGTTTTAGCCCAAACTTTCAGGAAAAAATCTTTTGTTTTAATTTTTTAATTCAATATTTTTATTTATAGATACTTGTTTTTTGTATAAGGGAATTTTGGCATTTATTTTTGACATATAATGGTACAAAAAATTTTATGTAACAAATAATTACAAAACACAAGAACAGATACAAGGTACAAAAAATTTTATATACCAGTAACAAATTTATGATACTTACACATCATAGAAGAACTCTTCGTCACTCTCAATATCAGAAGTATTGTCTTCTTCAATTTCTACATTACTAGTGTCTTCTGAAGAGTCACTTTCCTCATCCCGGTAAATTTCATCATCCTCAATTCCATCCGTAGCATTGTTGATGCTGCATTTTTCAAGTGATCTCATGACCACTTCCTTCTTGACACCATTCCACAATCTAAGGATCCAATCACAAACCTGAGCCATAAATGCTCTTTGGTTTTGCCTGTAGCGTTAAATTATTACCATCTGACTGCATTGTCCACTCTTTCTTCATTAGGGGCTTAAAGGGCTTTTTTACTGACACATCTGAGAGGTTACAGTTGGCTAGTTAGCCCACCAGGTATCACAATAATTTGGGTTTTCAAGCCTGCTGCGATTGCTTTCCCACTTTGTGTAACATGGGCTTTGAAGTGATCAAAAACAAGCAAAGCTGGTTTTTTTAAGTAATCCTCCAGGCCCTCATGACCAGACGTTGTTAAACTAGATTTCCATGCCTTCTTCATTTATCCATCCTTTTTTCATGCACATGGACAATAACTCCACTTGGAACCTTTTCTTTCAGAAATGTTTTTTTTTGTAAAGATGATTATAGGTGGTAGCTTTGTTCCATCTGCACAACAGGCTAGAACAATGGTAAAATGTGTTTTCTCATGAACCACCGTCTTTGCTCCTTTGACATCCACAGTTCTGTTGGATGGCACATCAAATGTGAGTTGGACTTAATTCACGCCAGCAATTTGGGACCACTCAAAGTTGTCAGTCTTTCAAAGATTAATAACAAGAATGAAATTCTAAAACTTGATTCTCACATGCTGCTGGAAGTTTCTGCACAAGTTTCATTCATGTTCTCATTCTCGAACCTTCTCTCTTCATAAAGTTAAAGCACCATTTAGGTGTCCCTCAGAAATCGTCAATGTTTTTTTCTCATGCAATCCTTTTACCTTCTTCTTGTATCATCTTCATTGAAACAGAATCCCAGTCTGACGTTGCTCCAGAATCCAGGTCTCCACCACTGGCCACTTTGGAAATTTCCCTTGCATTGTCTTCTTCTGTCTTGGTGTCTAAAGAAGCTTTTCTTCTGTTGCCTCTATAACCTGTGACACTCTCTGTAGGAGGAGGTCTAAAGTGTCTCTCGGCAGCTCTGTTGCCATGCTTTTTAGTAATTTTTTTTAATGCTCAGGTTTTTAAAAAATATTTTATTTACTTATTTTTAGAGAGAGGGGAAGGGAGAGAGAAAGAGAGGAGGAGAAACATCAATGTGTGGGTGTCTCTCACATGGCCCCCAACTAAGGACCTGGCCTGCAACCCAGGCATATACCCTGACTGGGAATCAAAGCAGTGAACCTTTGGTTTGCAGGCCAGTGCTCAAGCCAGTAAGCCACCCCAGCCATAACTTTTTTTTTAGCATATTTAATAACTTTTTGCTAAAAGCATGCAGTGTACAAAAAAAGTTTCAACATTTTCCAAGGGATTTTCCAATAATTTCTCCTGCCTAAAGTGTATCGAGAAATGTCACACTGTTCACCCAATGGTAATAAAGTCAGCATCACCTATCTTATCAAATAGATAACAATACTTGGCCAAAACAGCTTCCTTGAAAGTTTGTAAATTCAATGAAACTGATTATTGTATTCCAGGGTATTATTTTGCATACAGATATCGTTATTGCTTTCTACAGTTACACTTTTAACACATTAGCATAAATAAAATAATTAAAAACATTTATGGAATACTACCTATGTATAATATGCATCCTTAGTTTTCCCCTCAAAAATTTGGGCTAAAAAGTGCACGTTATACATGGTCAAATACGGTACTTACTGTTTCTTTTTGCTTCCCTGTAGATTTCAATTTCCAGGAAAGCAGGGACTGTATCCTTAACACCTTAGGAAAGCAGTTAACTCTTGGTAGGTAAGCCATAGTTATTCTCCAGTGAATTAATTAACCAGTTCTGACCGAAAGCATTCCCTCTAGTGACCACAGACATGGCCACAGGTTCATGATATTTCTAGCATAATGGAAAGCTCGCCCGTGAGCACTCAGCTCCTTCATAACCCAAATGGCTCCTCAAAGAAAGACACTACTTTTTGCTGGGAACTGAAAAAACATCGGTGTTCCCTATTTCGTTTCTGCCCTTAAAATTTAACCAAAGCATTGACAGCTCAGGCCAATGAGGTGAATACAAGTATGTATCAAGTCAGTTTGTAAACTGTCGGCATTCACCCAAGTTTATCGGATCTACTTGTCTCTACAAGCATAGTCAGGCGGTCCGAGGAGAAAAGCCAGCTCCCAGTAAGAGGGTCCTGGCAGGTCTGGCCAGATGCTGTCCCGCGCTGCGCTGCACCACCTCGGAGGCGGGGGAGCTGGGCCCAGGACTGGCCTAAGCTATGCAGGAACCGCTCGGGCCTGTCCTGGGCAAGCCTTAGCCTCAGGCCAGCTCCAGAGGTCCCGAGGCGAAGCAAAGTGGGGCGGGGCGAAGATAGGTGGGCGGGGACTGTCCGACCGTCATCTCTCCAACTGGGCTCAGGATTGGTCGGTGTTCAGCAGGCACCGCCCCAGCCAGCCTGGGGCGTGCCTATGGGCGGGGCCACCACTTTCGGCTCGTGGGGCGGGTGGGGCTGCGCCAGGGCTGTGGCTGAGTTTGGGGCTGGGGCTGGTGATGCTGCAGCTGGGCCGGTTTGCCAAGCTTGGGCGGAGGCCAAGAGATGGCAAACGTACGGGTGGCCGTGAGGGTCCGGCCCCTCAGCAAGAGGTGAGTCTAGGCAGGAGGGGGCGCCTGAGGCGGCAAGTGAGTTAGGAGGGCGAGGTGCTCGCCTCCCCGTCAAGTGATTCCGGCGTGGAGAAATCAGACACAAAGTGGACCAGAGGGCCAGGGTCCGGAAATCTTAAAGGCCTGGCAAGCTGAGACCTCCGGGCGAGTTTTCGCGTCGTGCCCTGGGGGATAGCGGTTTCTGGTTGGCCTCAGGGGTGGAATGCCCTGTTTCGGCGTTTCTAGAGTCCTGGCAGCAGGAGTTTTGAGGGACCACGGCTCAAGTCTTGACGTACGGGTAGGGCGTTTCTCACTGGGTACGTTGAAAAGGGCTGGGAAGGTATCTTTACTCCTGGAGAGGGATTGTCAGTCTCCTCGTTCTTCTTGCTGGCTCTAAAGTACCTGTGAGGACTGAAGCAGAATTTTGGGTGCACGTGAGTTTCTCTGCGAAGATGTGGAGAAAGGCAGAGTGTAAGACATGAAAGGGAGACAGAGAAATCGTGGTTCCACTCTATGCTGGACGGCCAATCTGTGAAATAGGGGAAGTTACTCTCCTCTCAGCGTCCGCAGTGCCCATTTCCTCATGGGTAAATCTGATCCTGCACCCCTCAGCTCTGGAGGCTCCCAGTGTCCGGCCACATAATTTCTTCCCCTTTTCACTAGTTCTCCATTCATAGGTTTGGAAAGTCAGGGAAGGCTTCACAGAAGGGTTGGTGTTTGAACTGTTTTTTAAAGATCTATTCGAGTTTGCTGACAGGTGGAGAAGATGTAAAAAGCATTTGGTAGTAAAAACACTGCAAGCAAAGGGCTGTTAGGAAACAGGTAAGTTTTGGTTGTTTGGGGAGAGGGTATGTGGAGGGAGGTGAGTGACGGGACATAAAGCTGTGGAGAGTGTGGTTTGGGACCAGTGGCACATTTTGGAATGATTTGGGAAGTTAAAAAATTCCAGGACATAAGATGGCTTGAAAATTGGGCAGAAGGGTCAAAAAAGGCACTGTCTCCCACAATAAAATTTGGTACTATCAGGGATTATATTTGTCCTGATATGGAGGTGATTGGCTTTGAAAAGTCATGCAATTGACAGAATGATAAAGAGAGGAATGAGAAGGAGGGAAGAAACAAGAAAAACAGAAAAGAAGGTAGGAAAAGGCAAAGGAGGTACAACGAAGAAAAAAGGAAAGTAGCACATGCTTGGAATGTTGTATTTAGATTGGTAGATGGCTTACAGCATCTGGCTTCTGCATTACTAAGTGGTGGCTCGAGGTTGGGGGGTTTTCACTGATGCAGCTGTCACCCTGAGAATAGCCTCTGACAACCTCTTTTTGCAAAACCATTCTTTTTAAAAAAATTATTTTTTATTGTTTGTGCTATTAAAGTCCCAATTTTTCCCTTCGCCCCCTCCACCCAACCCACCCCCATTGGCAATCAACCCCCGCATTGTTATTCATGTCTTTGGGCCATGCAAGTATGTTCTTTGTCTAATTCCTTCACCTGCAAAACTATTATGTTAAGGGTTCTTGGCATAACAATGTTGACCACTCCTCACAGTAACTTTTCTATTCCTTGGGTACTAGGAATTTACAATAGCATGCATTAGATTAAGAAAATGCCATTGAAATTGAGTTGTTATTTGCAGCCACAGTAGAGAATAACACATCTCATTAAACAAAAGTGAAGAGGAAAGAAGGGCGCAAAGCTTATTTACTGAGCTCATGTGAAGAACCTTGAGCAGCAAGCAGTAGAATGCTAAGACTGCAGATATCCAGGTGTTAGTTGATTATTACAGGCTGGAGATTCAGGAGCACAGATTCAGGAGAAGGTATGGAGAAACCCAGTGTGGCCCCACCTAAGAAGCTGAGACGACTCCCCTTCTCTCACAGAATCCTGCAGAGATGAAGCTATACTGCAAGGTTTATTAATTTCCAGCCTCTTCACTGAGGCTCAGCTGAATGTAGGGAACCTGCTGATTATGTATTGGATTGGCCAAATCTATAGTTGCCTTTTAACTTCATTCAGAACAACTGTGTTAGATTGCATTGTGATAATTGTTAAAAAAATCAAAATTGGTGAATTTTTGTGCAGCCATTTTTATATTGAAGATGGAAGAAAATGCATAATATTTTTGGCATATTATGTTGTATTATTTCAAGAAAGGTAAAAACATAACTGAAATGCAAAAAAAGGTTTGTGCAGTGCATGGAGAAGGTGCTGTAACTGATCAAACGTGTCAAAGTGGTTTTTAAGTTTCTTGGTACTATTGACACTTTGGCCAAATAATTCTTTGCTCTGGGGCTGTATTATACATTAGAAGATGTTTAGTAGCACCCCTGGGCTCTACCCACTAGAAGCCAGTAGCGGGAGATAGCTGACATACTCAAAATCTCCAAATCAATAAAGTTACTGGTGAAAATGAAAAGTGAGTCTTTTATTTTACAGAAAAAACATAACAGACTTTTTTGCCAACTCAATAGTTTGTTCCAAACTTCAGTAAGTCATTGGATCTGATGTTGTATTTGGGACAAAATCTTAGAGGTCATATGGTCTAAGCTTCTGTTTTTTCCTGATTTTCCAGGTGCAAAAATGGTCTGGTGTAAGGTCTAAAAGTAGATAGAACCAAAAATCAATTAACCAGACTAAACTGTTCCTTCCTGACATTACAGAGAAGTTGCACTACTCTGTCAAATGCCTGTTTACTCAGCAGGACTAGAAACGACCATCCATCAGTAAAATGGTACTATGGAAAATGGGTTTGATGCCCTTATCTCTACCTCATAGTTGTTTCCCATGTCAGAGAGTCAGTGTCTCAGTAAGAGGTGCTGCCCCTTGTCTGTCTAAAATCCTTCATCACTGAGACAGCATTTCTCGTCCACCAATACTGTAGGCCATGGAACACTTCCCACTGCCCTGTCAAAAATTACTTTTCATATACTGTATTCCCTTTCTGTGCTCTAAAAAAACTGTAAGGTAGAATAACTACTTCAATGTTTTTATGAGTATTAAGAAAAAGAATGTGTTTAAAATACATAGAAGAGAATAGAGCTTGGCTCATTTTAAGTGTCCAAATAGAGTATTAGCTATCTAATTCTTAACAGCTATTTTTATCTCTCCCTATACTTAGCTAGCTGTCTTTTTAAAAAATGTTTCACAAATGAATAAATGAATGGTAATTGCTTGGTTATTTTCTCCTCTAGGACAGTGATTCTGAAATTATGGTAGGCATACCTACAGTCCACCTGGGGAGCTTATTACACTGCAACTAATTAACAGCAATTTGAATTAACTAGCCCCACCATCTCCCATGTTTCTCATGTGAGTGGCTCGTGGACTGCTTTCAGAAACACTGTCCTGGGAGTAATGTGTAAGTGAGGACTTTTCCCTGCAAACCCTTCAACCCTAAGGAATGAGTGCCTGTTGGTGGGATTGAGGACACTGAGGTGAGTGACAGGTACTCCCCTCTACTGTGTGTAAGGCTGCTCCTCAGTTCACTTTTGTTGGGCTAAGTGCTGCCAGCTACCCCACTGAGGTTAGTGCCCTTTCCTTCTGTTGTGTCCGACCTTAATTCATCTTCGTTTTTTTTCTAGAATGTTTGGAGCCACTAGGTTACCAGTGGTAAGGGAGGAGCAGCATCTCACTCTCCTGGAGTGTTTGTTATTTCTTTAAATGTTTTTTTAAGATGTCAAGGTTTTTTTTTTGGTTGCTTTATGCCAAAGGGTCCTAGATAATAGATTTGGCACAGTTATTGTGTGATTTTTTTCCCTAATTTTCTTTATTCAAGTTTACTGTATATAATCTGTGTATTACTTTTATAGTGAGTGGAGGGAGAATAAAATTTACTTTGAACTGCAGAAAGGAAAAGAGTCTTATAAATATCTTGTAAAATGTTAACACCAAAGATGAAAGATTTATCTTTTTATTTTTATTTTTTAGGAGAGCTGAGGGCTGTGTTGGGTGGGCAGGGTGAGTGCAGTTTGATGACCCTGGGAGACAAAGAATATATCTCTGCTGACTCAAATATTATCAGTATGAAATGTGAAAGAAACTATATCAGGGCCTTGGGGAAATTTAAGTAACGAAAGTGTCATTACCTGGGAGAGAGAAAATTTCTATCCAGGGCTTTATTTCACTGACAGGTTTTTTTTTTTTAAATCTTAAATCTAAAGACATCCCTACCCTGCAACCAGCTCCACCTGTCACCCCCCCTCCAGTCCTCAAGGTCGCATCCTGGGAATTCAGAGGAAGAATAAAATGAAACTGAACATATTTTCTCAGATTTCAGGTCCCAGGCTAGGAGTAATTAAATTAACTTTCCTTATACTGGAGGAAGTGCTGATGAATTTCTCTTCTATTAACATTTTGGCTGTGCACACTTTAGCTAAAGTTTTTTTACGTCCTGTAAAAGAATTTTATATTTAGTATATTCCATTCATTTTAGGCTTCAGGTATGTGGTTCACTTGGATTAAGCCCCTTAAAGCACATTTAGGGATTGGTTAAGTGTTACCACATAACCGCAACATAGGAAGATTCTTAAAGATCTTGGTTCCCATCCTCATTCATAGAAGGAAAGGTTGGGGGAAATACTTTCTCAGGATCTCAATGGAGAGGACCCCAAAGCCTTTTTCATGTTTAAAATCCCGGAGAAAATGAGAGGTGATGCCATTGTGTGCTGAACCAAGGATACTCTCCAGGTTTCCAAGCTTGATTTCTAAGGTATAGCTAAGAGCCCAGGCTTTGTGTCAGACAAATCTGGGTTTAAATTCTGGCTCTGCCACTGCAGACCATTTAGCTGTATGACCTTGGACAACTTACATAATTTTTCTCCGCTTTAGTCGTTTGTCTGTAAAGATGAAGATATGTTAGGAAGGTATCTCAGGAGGGTGTGTTAAGAAGATTGAATAAGATGAAGTACCGTGGGTACTGTACCTAATACAATGTCCAGTGTGTAGAGGGCATCCACTAATGGGGACCCTTTGCCGTCTAGAGCCAAATTCTAATGATACAGAAAATGATCCACCACACGTAGGGGACTGGTTTGATGTGATGCTTTCAGGAACTTATGGATTCAGACACCCCAGGTTTGGAGACAGGAGTAGGGAGACATTTTGTCCCAGTAGCGCTCTTCTGTTTCTCTTTTCTTGATTAAGAAAAAAAAAAAAGAAAGCAATGTTTCTTCACATATGGGTTTGGGTCTTGTTTCTAGAGAAACCAAAGAAGGAGGAAGAATTATCGTGGAAGTTGATGGCAAACTGGCAAAAATCAGGAATTTAAAGGTAAGCCTGAAATTGTTTCCCTTTTTCTTTCCACTGAGGAGCTGGTTATTACAGGGGCTTCCGGGGTGAGGATGTGTTTGTGAATGTGTTTAGAGAGGAGCAGTGGAAGGGCTCCGACCAACCACTAAACAAATGTAAAACAGCAGGAAAGAAGTACAGGGATGTTGCTGCGGCAGCTCAAGTTCTATCAAACAGGGTGCAGCTGTTTGGAAACTAGTCAGTAGCTTCTTTGAAAGTAAACACAAAGGCTGAGTGGGTGGGGCGTGGCTAGCTTAAATCATTTTGGGGACAGTCCATGCGGATACTTAACTCACCTGAGTCCAGTCAGACTTTGTGCGGAGCCTCTCGTTTGCTATCCCTTTGTTTGCTAATGCAGGATTCATTTTGGCCGCAGTGAGGACCAAGAAAGAATCTTCCTATCTCAGGAGGGACTCAGTCACTAGTCTGAGTCTTGCTACAAATTCTCTTTCACAGATTTCACTGATCTTTGAGTCACAATTGGACCAACTCTGGGAACTTCCTTCCCTGTCCCTTACTCCCTCCTAGGGCTAATTTCCTCTATTATATTCCTCCTTTACCAGGCCAGTGGAAGTGGAAGGGTTTCTTTCTTTCTTTCCAGGCCTTGGGGGGTCGAGGGAAACAGGGGCGCTGGCCATTGACCTTCAGAGTGAGGGTTATCTGGACCGCAGTACTCCCAGCCATGCCCACTCCCGGGTCACTTCTGTGATGCAATCTGTTTCCTTTTGTCAGTAGCTCTCCTGGGGAAGAAAACAGGAAACACCACCTGTCAATAGAAGCTCCCTGGGGACAAAAGACCTTTTATTCTTTGCTGTCTCTTACTTATGTGTCTTGCCTAATCATGTCAGCTGCTTTTTCTGAAAGATTGTATTTTTGGTTCTTAATAATTCCTGACTGAGATCAAACTCTAATAGGCCTCCCACACACTTTGCTGGCTGCTTACTTCCCTGAGGTCAGTTCTCTTCTAAGAATCTCTTAGTTATTCTGGTAGCCTCGTTCTGCTGTGGTTTGTGAGATCCTAGTGCTAGGGGTTGCGTCTCCCTGTCCAGAGTCTAAATTTTAAATAGTATGCCATTCTTTCCAGTACAGTACCTAGAGGTCAGTGCAGTTCCAGCCTCTGGCTCTGCCCTCATCTACCTTGGACAGTTGGGGTTGATCCTAGCTCTTCTGACCAACATGCTTTGTAGTTCATCACGGTGGGTCCCCAGGGACCTCTGTGAAAACCCTAGGTTGATAGAGCCAGTCAGGCCCAGGGACTAAAGTATTTATGCATTTCTGTGTCTGCTATAGAAATGCTTAGAGAAAAAATTATACTGATTAGAAGATGCCCAGAGAGGTAAAGGTTTTCTCTCTCAAGCTGTCCTATACCTCATTTGGTTAGTTCACATGTAGGTAGATATATGATAGTATGGTAGACATTTAGTTAATTCTCTGGGGCTTTACTGAACCTAACAAAATGAGGATAGAGCTTACTTTTTTTTTTCTTTTTTAGATAGATCTCTGGGGCTTTATTGAACCTAACAAAATGAGGATAGAGCTTACTTTTTTTTTTCTTTTTTAGATAGATCTCTGGGGCTTTATTGAACCTAACAAAATGAGGATAGAGCTTACTTTTTTTTTTCTTTTTTAGATAGATCTCTGGGGCTTTATTGAACCTAACAAAATGAGGATAGAGCTTACTTTTTTTTTTTCTTTTTTAGATAGATATCAAAAAGATTCTCATGACTATTCCAGGTCTCTAGCTACAGCAGAGAGGAATCAAGTGCCACTAGCCAGATTCTGATATTACAATAGAGAGGACACTGGATCCTATGTTTGATTTTAGGTGGACAGTCGATCAGATGGCTTTGGAGACTCCCGGGAGAAGGTTGTGGCGTTCGGCTTTGATTACTGCTACTGGTCAGTCAACCCAGAGGACCCCCAGTATGCATCTCAGGAAGTGGTAATGTCATTTTCCCTTCATTCTTCTCAGTTTTTAATAACTATAATTATGACGTCTGTCCAGAAGGTATCCAGCCATGTAATATGAAAAATAGGGACATTTATTGAAGAAGATACATGATACAAGAAACATTGTACATAGGACAGTGACACCTCAGTCCCCTTCAAAGTAGGCATCTTGGGACCTCATACAGTTCTCCCAATTGCCGTTAGCTGCCCCATTGTATTTTCCTGAATCTCATCAGTGGTCTGAAATCTCTCCCCTTTCTAAGATGATTTTAATTTGGGGAAAAGCCAGAATTTGTAGGACACCAAATCTAGGCTGTAGGATGGCTGAGTCACTTGGGTGATATGGTGTTTTGCAAAAAAACTGTGGGAGATGTGATGCATGTGCAGGCACATTGTGGTGATGAAGCTTCCAATCACTAGTTGTCCATAGCTGCAGCCTTCTGAATCATCCAAACAGTTTCCATGGAGGAATGTTCAAGCTGAACACAAAATGTGGTGCAGATTTGTTGCTCTACTTGCTCATTTTGAATGTGATGGCCACGCAGCGCACATGCTCACTGAACAGTATCTACTACTGCCCCCACTGCCCAGTAGAGTGAAGTTGGCATTGTTCATGCTTGTGCATTCCAGTCCACTCTCCTTGGCTGCCAGCTTACATGAATGTTGTACAAACCATTTCTTGTTATATTAACAATGGCTGGACTTTTTCTAGACAGACCTCATATTGGGAAATTAACATGGAATCTGGGTCCTGCTTAATTCTTACTTATGGTAGTTTGGTCACAAACCAATGATATTTGATCTGAGAAGTGGCAGTGAGAGGCATTGGTTGCAAAAAGAGTAAAGGACTACTTACTCGGGGCATGGGAGTTGACTAGTTTGTTTATTCTTGGGACTCAGCATGGTCCAGGTGTGTACAAGTTAGTTTAGGTAGTACTCTGCTTCTATGGTAAGTGAATGGCCTCATCTCAAACTTGGCCTTGTGTTGTATGCAACAGAAGGGCCCAGGAATCCTAGAGGCTAGTACCTTCTTTGAGCCTTAGGCTTGTGCTCCTAGGCTAAGTGTAAAGGGCTAGACAGCTAGTCTGCCAGCCTGTAGAGTATGTGTGTAAGAGGTGAATTCTCTTCTTCCAATGAGGGCTGAGACGATCTGCTAAGGCTGTTGGTGATGACTCCTGTGTCCGGTAGTGTTACCTAGCGCTCTCAGAAGTTTCTGAGACAGCTGGTCTGGCCAGTGGATCTACAGGGTCCCCTCTGTTTCTGTGAAGCAGAAGCATCATTCTGATTTGTCCTTATGAAGGTCATACATTCAGTCCTCATGATGACCAGCAAACCTTGTCTCAATCAATTCTGTGACAACAGACAATAGCCCTCACCCCAGTAGCCATCAGGATACTGTTTATGAAAGTCCATCTCTAAAATTAGAAATATAATTTATTTGGCCTTCATCCTACTTAACATATGAATGAAAACACTGCAGGAGTATGTCCTTAGGAAATACCACTGGAAATGGAAATATTTGGGTGGAACCCTGAATAACAACAGCCTGTTAGTTTATATATCTTTGAATAAAAAGCCAAAATGTGTTTTTGAAGTATTTTAGTCTTTTGTGAAACTTTTCCTAATTATGCTAAAGGAACAATGCCATCAAGTTTGAGTGACTTAGAGAACAGTACTAATCTTCCATTGATGCAAACTTCTGAAGATGATTGGGTAGTTCTAAACCATGGAAGTGTAATTCCCTCACTCTTCCCTTCTGCATGGAACATGTGGGAACAGGACCCTAGACCACTGTGGGATTCGTTGTCTCTGAGGGCTCCTTCTGTTATAGTACAAGCACAGTACCTTTGTCATCAAACTGCGTTCGCTGTAAACACTCAGCAGGAAAAAGCAGTGTGGGCACTGGATGGCCCCTCCTGAGCCTCCCCTGTCCTTTGGAATTCAAGGGCACTGGCAGGTTCAGACTTGTCTTATGGCCCTTGATTTTTATCCTAGCACTCAGGTATCTCTGAGGTATCTGGTTACTGGTGTTTGTAATTGTTTTACTGAGATCCTCCAAGAAGAGCCAGGAAAGAAATTGATTCTCAAGTCAGAGGATGGGTTATCTCCAGCATCCGTGGTGTAGGAGGCAGTGCTCTTTTTATTAGCAGAAATTGTGAGCATACTGATGGCCATTTCAGCCCTTCTGGGGCCATCGCACTCCTAGGACTGGCTGTTTTGTAGCTAAGAAAAATGAACTATTTTGTGTTAACATTTGATCAACAGTCTGGGAGGTGTGTGTATGTGTATAAACATAACAAAACTACATGTCTCCCTCTATATCAACAAACTTGGGTATGATTTTTGGTGTGTGGGTCACATTTTATATTTATGTAGCTTAAGTGTATAAAAGTAATCTGATAGAAGCGCAAAAGACCATAGATGAGGAGAATTCATAAGTATGATTCTTCCTGCCTGATTTGAAGTTCAATGGAAAGATCAAATGGGATTTGGACAGGAAGCCTGTGCAGAGAGATAAGACTAGAATCTCCTGAGGTTGATTCTGGCTTGTGTATTAATTGTCTAAGGCTATCATTGGTCCCAAGGGGAGTCAGGACAGTAGAGAGAAGGAAAGGAAACTTCATTACAGGCTGGAGTAGAGCCAGAGGTCCCAGGATGGTGGCAGGACTCACATCCATATGATGTGGTCAGAGGGACTGATTACTGTATCACAGAAACTGGAGCCTAGACGTAACCCTAATCACTACAGCCCTGAGGTCACCAGGGGTAGGAGAAGCAGATCATCATAAAAGCATAGGACTTGGGGTGGGGAAGAATTTAGAGGTCACCCAGTTTATCCTCTTCCAAAGTATAGCTGTGTTCTCTGCAGCATTTGTGATCATAGGTGGGGTGGGGCAGGGTGGTGGAGAAAGAGATTAGTCTTATTGAAGTATAACTTAGATATAGTAAAATTCACCTTTTTAGTGTACAGTTCTGTGAGTGTTGACAAACACAGTTGTGCAGTTTACCATCAGTATATAAAACAGTGCATCACCCCAAAATTCCTTCCTGTCGTGTGCAGTCAAACCACTCTCCCTACTCCCAGCCCCTGGCGACTACTGACCTGTTTGCTGCCCCTGCAGTTTTGTTTGTTCCATAATGCCTGTCAATATAATAAAACAGTATGTAGCCTTTTGAGTCTGGCTTTTCCCATTGAGTATGATGTAGACAACAGTCATCTCTACAGTTTGGTATATCATATCTATTCTGACCTTGATTCTGAATTATTTAAATCATCTTCTTGCCCAAAAGGAATATCATGGTTGTGAAAGCACTGATTCTAATTGCAAAGAGGGACCAAGTCCCTGGAGGACTGTGCTTCCTCCATGTCTGAGTCTCTCATTGTGAAGGAAGGACTGTCATCACCCTCAGAAATACAGCACTGATTTCCTAATATCCAAATATCTGAGGGAAGAATTTTCCTCATCGGTCTTAGAGGAATTTTGAGCAATGTTATAAGCCATTGCTTGATAGATATTGGCAAGACTATCACCCGTTTGATATTGGTGCTGCCTCATCATAGTCTCTTAGAATGTGAGAGGTCGAAGGAAACTCAGCAGTCATCTAAACCAGGGTTTCTCAACATCAGCACTATTGATATTTTGGCCAGATAATTCTCTGTCGTGGGGATCTTTCCTGTGCACTGTAGGATGTTTAGTAGCGTCCCTGGCCTCCACCAACTGCATACCAGTAGCAATCCCAGTCATGGCAATCGAAAATGTTTCCAGACACTTCCCACTAATCTGTGCCAACCCCCTCATGTTCTAGAAACAGCCACATGACTTACAGGGGGTTATACAGGCAGAAAATTCACAAGTGGGACTAGACCTGTGCTTCCCATGTTGGTCTTTGCTTTGCATTGTACCATTCTACCTCCCTCTTTCATGTCTTACAGCCTCAAAAGGTAAGTTCAAGATTAAGATTCCTTAGTGTGTGAGCCCTTCCCTCACCTTAGCGGTGACACACTGGAGCACGTAGACCAGGTGCCAGCACACACGGCCTGCAGAGTCTCGCAGCTACCGCAGGTCCTGCTGGGGGGCGGCTTCATTTGTTACATACCTGTGTATTCTAGATATTTATCCTTTCTTTTGATCATCTCCCCAAATCTATTAAATCTGTATCATTTTCTACACTTTATGGATAAGGAAACTAAGGCACAGAATGCTCACAAGACTTGGTCTGTAAATGGTACAGCAGGAATTCAAACCCATGACTGTCCACCTCTGAATCGCATGCCACCTCCACCAAGCCTCACTGACTCCCAAAGTTAAAAAAATCCCATTTACTCTACTAGTGACCTGGCCATTTCTTTGGAAATATTATCTGATTTGATCTTTTCAACAGCCTAAAAGGTGGAAGATTTTATCCTCCTTTTATAGTTGAGGAGATTTAGGCTTAGAAAGATTACATGATCTGCCCCAAGTCAGAAATGAGTCTTAGATTTGAATACAAGATCATCTGAATACAAAGTTCATATTCTTTTTATACTACAGCGTAAAAAGGGGGGAAAAAGAGTGGTATAGGAAAAGGAGGGACTGTAAACTGGGGGAAGGAGAGAAGGTGAAGGGAAAAGGGAGAGAGAGAGAAGAGTGTAGTGGGTGGGGACAGGATCACGCCAACTGTCTTGTCCACTAATTACCCTATGACCCTGGGGTCATTAGGCTTTCATTCTTTTTTTTAATTAAAAAATTTCAATTATAGTTTACACTCAATATTATTTTGTATTAGTTTCAGCTGTATAGCATAGTGGTTGGACAATCCTACACTTTACAATATTCCCCCCCGATATTTCCAGTGCCCTCCTGGCACCATACACAGTTACACAGTATTATTGACTCTGTTCCCTGTGCCGTACTTTATGTTTGTGTGACTGTTTCAGCTACCAATCTGTACTTCTTAAGTTCTTCCCCTTTTTCACCCAGTCCCTGAACCCTGCTTTTCTCTGGCAACCTT